TATGCCTGCAGCAAAATAACCACTAAAGGGGTGATTTATTTCATTTTACAGGTATGTCTTCTTATATGTTTTTGTTTGTTATTACTATTGTTATATGTAAAGTGTGGTCGTGTGTTGCGATGTTGTTAATACTGTTATGACGCAACACAGCAGTTGCAATGTGTACTGCACGCTGTGGGTCACTTATGCCTGCAGCAAAATAACCACTAAAGGGGTGATTTATTTCATTTTACAGCCTGCAGTAAAGAAAAGAAAGATTGAGTCCGTTGTACAGAGTGGTGTCTTATCGGATCTCAGTGGTGTTCATCCAAGTCACATCGTAGAGTGGAGGAGAAAGTCCACATCTGTCACACCAGCCTGGGGAGAAAGGTATTTTAATAATGTAAAGTATGTGAAAAATAATGTGTTTTTCGAACCACCAAGCATGAGAGCATGTTCTAGTACACCCCCAAAACAAAATCAAGACTTTGTAAAAGAGCATAATAGGACCCCTTTAAATTGAATGTGCTTTCTATGGACATAAAATCACTTTTGTAAATTTCTTTTGATGCAGACATCTTTAACGTCTTTGACCCATGTATATATATTACATTCCCATGTATTTGTGCCCATCTCTGTTTATATTTGATCAAACGTGCTGGAGCACTCAACTTGTTTGGTGTCATATTTTAGAGACATGAGAAAAGTCAACAGAGAAGTTAAGAAAGCAGAGATCCAGAAAAACAAGTTCCTGATCGTCACTTAATTTTCATAATGCCTAGTAAATTTTCCCCCAGTCTAATCGGGAAACTAATTTTCGGCTATATAAGTTCTTACTCAACAACATGTACACACTGAATGCAAGTTTCTAGTACCTACATCTCAAAGGAGGAGAATCCCCACTGACTGCTGAATCCTGAACTAACAAGATAAGGTTGTCTTCATTTAATGACTATCACTGTGATATTGATTTTTATTTTTTTTTTTTAATTGACTTATATACATTAATTTTGGTTCTGAACAGGTCCAAATAACAAACTGTGTTGTGGAGCAATGAAGGTTTATCAGAGCGTTCTGCTACTCTTCTGCTGCCAGTTCCTACACACTCTGGGTAAACAATGTTTTTGTATTTTTGTTTATGTGATTCAATTTTTTTTTATATAAAAAAATATTATAAAAATAATGAATTCATATTTAAAAGTCTCTGTATTTGCAATCACTGATTATTTTGCAATCATTAAATTATTTGTTTTCACAGCTTTAGACTGTACTGTGATGAGCGGTAACCTGAAGCAGATAGACGCTGGGTCTGGCTCAGTGGTTGGAGTGAACAATCTTAATGAAGTGTTCATCCTGATTGATAACATCTTCACAAAGATCAGCGGGTCTCTAAAGCACTTCAGTGTTGGTCCTGCTGGTCAGCTGGGGGTTAATACAGCAAACAACATCTTCAAGTTTCAGAGTGGCAACTTTATTCAGTTTCCAGGTGAAGAGTTACAGAGAGCAAAATTAAGACAAAAGACAAGTTTAACCAGTCATGAATTTACATGTTTTAAAATAGCCAAAGTCCCGAAGACATCATCTTATTATGGTTCTTATTAAACTTGATTAATTTTTCATCCAACCTGTTGATTGTGTTGTTAGGGCTTCTCAAACAGGTGGATGCTGGAGGTGATCAGATCATTGCAGGTGTCAATATGCATGATGACATATTCTGTTTAAATATGGACGCTAACAACAAATGGCCATCCAGCACCACTCCTTGGGTTAATATTAATGGAAAGCTGAAGTATTACAGCTGTGGCCCGTACAGCTGTTGGGGAGTGAACAGCAATGACAATATCTACATCATAAGGGTAATGTCACAATGTTAAATACAAGAGCTTTAGTACACCTAGTTTTTATTTAGTAGATATCAAGCAAAGGCTTGAGTTTCTGACAAAACTGAAGAAATAAAGACACTAGGGTGAAAGCAGCAAAATAATTTTCTTGATGTGACTGTACGATGACTGACTGCATTGTATCTCTTTCGGTCTTGTGCAGGATGTGTCTAATAATGTCTGTTCTGGCTCTGGCGTCTTTGTGAATATTCCTGGACTTCTGTCCATGATTGAAGTAGCAACTGATGGCAGCGTCTTTGGTGTCAACTATCAAGGGAACTTATACCAAAGGTGAGCTGAACAGTCAAAATATTACACAAGTCTTATGAACAAAATGATTAACTTGTCATGCACATTTTTTTAATGGAAACAAAATGCTGCATTCAAGAAGACATACATTTTGTCTATTGCAGAACTGGAGTCACTCTCTCCAACCCTGTTGGCACAGACTGGATCTCAATGGTTGCCTGTCCCAATGGCCACAAGCATGTGAGCTTTGACCTGGGAGTGCTGTGGGTCGTGTGTGTTGACGGCTCCATCCGTAAATGTACTTTATAATCTTTCAATGCAGCAACAGAGGAGCTCAATCATTAACAGAAACCTCAAAGTAATCAGTCATTATTAACAGAAAACTGAAAGCTTGATTATACTTTCTTTTCTTCTTTTGCTTGCTGTTGAATAAATAAAGCATTATGAAAGCATCTATCTCATTAGTGTTGCTTTTCTTTTGTTTATCATTTGGTTCAGTGGTTCTCAAACTGTGGAGCAGTTTCAGGATATAAACAGTACAACCATGCAAATGTACACTAATAAAAATATATCATTTTTCCCCAAATTGTTTTATTTCTAATATCTAATTCAAATTTTAATACATGTTTGTCTATCTATGAATGTAGTGCAAAGCCTGCATTTTTAGAGATTTTAATACATAATGCTGTGTTAGATCCCGCTGACACATGAGGAATGTTGGCTCTAGTCTCTTTGATGTTCAATTAAAAAAATATTACATTATCTAAATTTATTTATTACTGTAATGCCTGAAAATAGTAACTTCTTATCTTTATGGATTTATTTACAGAGTTATGATTTGCTTTAAAAGAACTTTGAAACCATTATGAGCAAAGTACAGCTTCACCGTATACCTTCAATGTGTCTGTAATGTTATTGAATACATTTTAAGTTACAAAGCACACCCTATAAAATACACGAAAATTTGGGTATGGTCAAACTTAAAGAGTTCACATGACATTGTAATACTACAGCATGTAGAGTGCAATACTTTTACATGGTGGAACAGGCTGTTTACAGTTTTTCTGAATTGCTAAAACACTAAACCCCAATCTCTGAACCAAATTCTCACTAGCTTAAACCAATTTGTTGAATAAAGCACTCTTTCTGCTAAACCTTAAACACATTCAGGCAGTTGGGCTCTATTTGCAAATCCCATGCACTCTTTTTTGCAAAACTCTATAAACACATTCTCATTCACTTAAACACTTATCACACTGTGATGCATTTGTGCTGCAAAATGCTAAATACAACTAAAGCACAGTTGTCATCATTTACACTATTTTCATTGTCTAGCAAAAAAGACAATATTACTTGTGATGTGGACAGAGTCCCCAGGCCGGACTCAAGCACAAAGACATGATGCTGAGACAGAAGGAATCTCTCATTGACCCTGATTTTACAATTGCACAACTTGCAGTATTTGAGTGTAGCCTACTGTAACATGCTGTTCATTTAGAGTTTTATTTGACCTTTTTGGCCTTTGCAGTTGGACTGCAGTATTTTTGCAGTATCCAAGTGCTGAATATATACAAACATTGAGTACTATTCAATATTCAGCACAATACTATTCTTGCAGTACATACAGTAGGCCTATCCAATACATTCACCTCAGTTGCAATTATTATACAAAATTGTTTACTCAATACAATATTCTTTTTTTCTATAATGTTCTGGATGCTGTGTTCTCCATTTTTCTCTGTAGTGTCTAATGAATGCTTTGTAGTGTTTTTTTAATTGACTCGTGTGTGTGTGATCTTGAGTGCAAGAGAAATGGTTTTAGAGTGACTGTTTGATTTTATAGAAGAGTCAGAGGTTTCATGGCTTTAGTTTGAGTATTTGGATTTGTGTTTAAGGTTTTCAGAAAATGAGTGATGGTTTCAAAAAATGTGTTTTAGCAATTCAGAAAAACTGTAAGCACCCTCCAAAGAACACACTACACCATGGGGATTGGCATATTTATTGCATTTAGTTGACTGTGAAATGCAGCTATACATACAGCTCAAAAAACGTATATGGTGGAACAAACATGCATTGTGCTGTATCTAACAAGTTTCCCTGGCCAGATAAACTATTTTTAGAATTCTTGCATCCTAATATACGAAAGAACCATTTTAGGTCTTTTACAGTTTTTCTTTTTTTCCAGTATGTAAAAAAGAATCAGAGGACTATGTCGCAGGCAGGCAACGGGGGGAAACCCTCTGGTGTGGCGGATCCAGCCTTGACAAGACAGCACGTTTATGTCACCACAGGCCAGTTCTTCCACCCTAAGGTGGTAGTCTTGCAATTCTACACAAGATTCTCTTCCACTCGTCTTTTGCTGTTCTTTTGAACTTTCCAACTGATTATGGTGGCCACAGAGAATCTGCTCAATTTAGGTTGAACTCTTTGTCCTGCCTCTGTCATTCCACACACAAGAACATGGCCTATCACAGTAGCTCTGATTTCATCTGAAATGAGTGTTCTTGGTCTTGCTCTTCCTCGTCTTCCTCTTCCTCCACCTCATATACGCACTCTTCATACCTCTCAGATAGATGGATGCACCCATGCCATCTGTGCACTTTGAACTGGCTTATAGTTTGTACATTCACATATTTAGAAACAAGTGTGAACAGTTTTGAATTATTGTGTGTAAACGATGACAACCGTGTTGCAGTTGTGCTTAACTTTTGCTTTCTTGTGTTTAGGGTTTTGCATCACAAGTTTATCACAGTGCAAATTGCGTTTTAGTGAGTGAGAATGTTTAGAGTTTTGCAAAAAGAGTGCATGAGATCTGCAAACAGTGTCTAAACTGCCTGAACTTGTTTAAGGTTTTGCAGAAAGAGTGATTTATTTGACAAATTGGTTTAGGCTATTGAGAATTTGGTTCAGAGAATGGGTTTAGTGTCTTAGCATATGTGAAAAACTGTAACATGTTTATTCCTTTTTTACCTTTATCTTTATCTTTATGTAACTGTCTTTATGTGGGCAGTTGTGGCCTAATGGTTAAAGTGTCAGAATTGTATCCTGAAGGTTGTGGGTTCGAGTCTCAAATCTGGCAGGGATTGTAGGTGGGGGGAGTGAATGTACAGCGCTCTCTCCCACCCTCAATACCACAACTGAGGTGAGACCCTTGAGCAAGGCACCGAACCACCAACTGCTCCCTGGGTGCCGCAGCAATATGGCTGCCCACTGCTCCAAGTGTGTGTGTGCACTTGGATGGGTTAAATGCAGAGCACAAATTCTGAGTATGGGACACCGTACTTTGCCACACTTCACTCACTCAATGCAAGTTTTGAGTTCATCCACAACCTCAAAAATCTAATTACTGATACTTCCAGTGTTTTTATAGAGTTTTATTCTTATTTGTGGGCTCCTCTTCTTTTTTGAGAAACAGATAACTTGTGACATTTTGAAACCCCAGTTATTTACCCATTTTTCCACTTGCTGCATGCTTCTTTCCACAAATGTCACATTCCGTCCTCTTTTCCACAGGGCTCCGCCATATGCATATAGAAATTTTCCCATGCCTTGTCCTACCTTAAAAAATATGTCATTGATCGTTATGTTAAACAAAATCGGGCTACAGACACTGCCTTGAGAAGTGCCATTATCTACA